GCCATCTGCTGGACAAGGACAGGCCTGTCTGTCTGTTCCTGAAGGGCTGACTCAAATCTGTCATTTTAAAAATGCACAATCCAGAATAAAATATTAATATTTTCAGTATGTCATAAGGTTATGGAAGATACATTGCTCCAGTAAAATGTTGTTTTTCTTTACAGACTGAGACTGCAGTACATTTTTTTCAAACGGGGGGGGGGGGAACAACAACAAATCACTATTATTCAAGCGATGAAATGATGTAATTTGATTCTTTTTTTGACCCATTGATGCAACTTACAGATGAAAAACCTTAAGTGATCTAAATTTTAAATGATCTTTTTAAATCCAAAGTGCCTCTGCTGATTTATACATGCAAACCATCTCTACGTATGCTTCTTGTACTGCACAGTGCTATCCTTCTTGAAACTTGTCAATCTTCTTACTATACCCAGTTACTTCTGTCAGGGGTGATTAAACAAATATGACCAAATCTGTTTATTATTGCCATCTAGCGTGCCATCACGGGTACTACACCAACAAAACTTACCACTTCAGTACCCAGTTTCACTGCTGCTTAAGTAAACCCGTATGAATAGTATGTGTCTGGATATATATTGCCCCAATGTTTAATATCTCCAAAGTTATTAAAAAGACGCAAATAAGTCTGTTTAGTACGTAAATTACAGACCAGGTTCCTTGCAAAGTAAGGGAAGGTGAGTCACCACGCTCACAGGTATCATGGATGTGCGCCATATAGGTCTAGATATTATAAAACAGATATTATTTTTATACGCTGTTTAAGACGGCTTCACTAAAATAAGTGTTTAAAGGAAAGAAAACGTGTCTTGTCCGACTCCTTATCCAGCTGTTAAACTCACGTTAATCCTGTTGACCAAGCGGTTCCACCTTACTTTGGAGAATATAATATGAAAGAAGGGATCTCGTACTGTAGTGAAACCGGGTAAGGGGCCGAAACAGAGAGGTGATCTTTAAGATTGCGAAAAGTTGAATCATTCACTTTGGACTACCAAAGAAAACTGTTAAGTGAAAGCTTTCTGGATGGTAGTTGGTTATGGTAGACACTTGTATGTCTCTTGAGTTGGGTCATTCAAGTTAGTTATTAGTCATCAAAAATACGGTTTAAGTTTGTATCAGAGTGACTCACTTCAGATAAATCCATTGGTGTCGCCTCAAAGTCCATTCTGTCTTCGTAAACGTAAGTCTTTGTTTTTAAAAAGCTTTTAAACCGAGCTGCTGTGCTGCACGTCGTGCGTGTGTTGAACGAGGCTGCTATGGCAACGGCTGCTTCTTCTTCGTCTTCTTTTGATTTTTTGGCGATTGGCAAACCAGCTGAATGGCACATTACCGCCATCTAATGAACTGAAGTGTGGTGCTGGATTAGGCAGTTGAAAATTGAGTATTTGTTTGTATGTTTGTTGTTTATTGTCCTTTTTCAAAGGCTATGTTACATGTGGGTATGAAAGCTTTTGCTCAAGGATGTCCTGTTACAGAATCTTTGGGCCATATCTATAAATCACTGCTTTGTCAACCAGTACTTTCCCAAAGTATTTTTGGGCTACATACACCCATTCACTGATTTAGATTGTACTTTGATTTCCATCTGAATTGTCATGTCAGTTTTTTGTTCTGTAATCAACCATGTAGGGAAATTTTAAAAAACAGGATTGGGCTGTTTTGTATTCTACAGAGGCCTGCATTTCCTGCTCTTACATTCCCAATCCACCCTATCTACTCCAGAAGTTGCTTTTTTTGTGTTCCCAGCACTCCGGCAATACTGCCTTTGTGGGATGTAAATCCTCATGTTCTTGTAACTAAACCCAATATGTAAGTAAACATTTCATTTATCTAATGTGCATGAGGCATTTCTCCCATTACAACCTGTAATGCAGCAAAAGGAGATGTTTTAAATGCATGCCTGCACAGTCTTAGAGCTTGGGCTTGTTCGATTTCAAGTTTTTTAAGATTACTCATTGCTCAACTTTCCAGGCTGGAATAGCCTGTAGTTAATTTTGAAGTAAAGATTACAGCCCCTACACCACAGGGCCCCATCGTCTGCATATAGAGAACTTCCCAAACCCTGTTCAACTTTATCAAAAATATAATTTATCATAATATTAAATAATAATGGGCTACTTTCACTTCCCTGTGGGTTCCATTCTCCACCATATACATTTCTGGGTATTATAAGCCCACTTTTACTGCTATTGTTCTTAGAAACAAAAATTCTGTCACTCAGTTATACACCCACCCCAATACCAAATTTTTTAACCTTGATCAAAAGTTCTTCTTTCCACAGCATGTCATATGCTTTTTCCACATCAAAAAAAGACAGCAACAACTACTTCCTTATTTGTCTGAGCTTTCCTTACTTCTGACTCCAGAAATAAAAAACATTCTGTCTCCCCCCTTCCAAAACCCACTTTGATAAGGTGAGAAGATATGTTTGGTTTCTTATATATGACTCAGGTTTTCAGCAATCATTCACTGAAGAAAAAAAAAAAATTCAGTGTTTCTCCCAGCTGTGATGTTAAAGTTATTGGTCGGTAGCTTGAAGGGTCTGATGGATCTTTACCAGGTTTTAAAACTGTAGGCTGTATTGGGACAGAGGAAAAAGTGCCTAGAAAGTGAATTTCATTCCACTTTAGTGGGGCAACATAAACTGTGATTCATAAAATAGCTCTATTGATAGTAAGTACTAAAAAAAAATATCTAATAATGCCATCCAGTCGATTTTTAGTAATCAGTGTTTTGGTGTCGAACTTTTACCTTTCTGTGGCGTAGTGATACTTGCACACACACAATCGAATATGCAAAGGGGGGAAGCGATTTTTGTCACGTGGACCAATAGGAGCTGAGTCTCGTTGCCATAGTATCAGAAATACACAAACATGGCGACGAGCGCATCTAGCAGCGAGACAAGTGAAGAGGAAGAAAAAAAAGGGAAAAAAGAAAACAGCTTTCAAAAGTGCATAAAAAAGGAACGACACAATGCGATATGCATCTATCATCTGTCCAGAGTGAAGACGTTCTCGACTTTACAAGGACACTAAGGGGGTCGGCCAACCCCCTTAGCCAGCATCGCCGATGCATCCACGTCCACGGCATCTTAAACTCCGCGAAAGAAACTTCGCTCGAGGTTATAGGCTGTATTGGGACAAAGGAAAAAGTGCCTAGAAAGTAAATTTCGTTCCACTACGCTGGTGCTACTTGTTCAATGCATTTTTTGCATAGACAATACCATTCTGGACTTTGGGTTAAAATATCTACTCAGACTAGCTGTCTGGCTTTTGTCACCAGCCAGAAATGTACATATATGTGAGTAACCCAAAAAACAATTATATGGTGCTGCTGTTTTTGCTTGTAGAAACTGCTATGTTGATTCTGGCAAGACAAAATCTTTCTCAAATTTCATAAATACATCTACCTAACATCTAAAACAGTTATTGGTGCCTTAGTATACGCACAAGTGAATTCAGATTATGAAATGTAGCAAATTTCTTGAAGAAAACGTCTCAACTCAAGTGATTTGCACCCAGCACAATGAAATATATACAGTAAATTTAGCTAAAAGCTTATGTTTCATACATAAAAATGACACAACCTACTGTGTAATAAAAGCAATAAAATATAAACAGCACATCATGGCCATAAATGGCTGAAAGTCAATCAAATTGCTACCATGTTAAAAACTACAAAACCCAATTCCACTGAAGTTGGGAAATTGTGATAAACGTAAATAAAAACAGAATAAAATGATTTGCAAATCATTTTCAATCTATATTCAATCAAATACACTACAAAGACAAGATATTTAATGTTCAAAAATCATAAACTTTATTTTTTTTGCAAATAATAATTAACTTTAGAATTTGATGGCAGCAACACGTGTCAAAAGAGTTTGGACAGGGCAATGTTTACCACTGTGTTACATCCATAGACTGTATATACTATGGACAACCTGGTTCCGCCTACCGCCTGTGTACGGATTTGAAGCCAAAAAGCTCTCGGTATTTCCGGGATTTTTCTTCATTTCCTGAAACCAGCGCTGTGCAGTAGCGTTGTGCGCAATCGGCCGCGCAGTCGCAGAGAGTCACTGTGATGACGCTCGGCTCAAACAGCGTATCCCCCGGGAGAGCTACTCAATCCCTGAATGCCCATAGGCTGTATCAGGTGTGAATCATGAACCCCCTAATAACTTTTAAAAACGGAGCTTCATAGAAAAAAGAGGACTTGAGCACAAACCAGTCTTACAATAACTACATGTCAACATCGCGAGCAGGGGGGAGAAAAATGTATGTTCTGTGTAATAAATTTCTAAAGTTGGTCCACAGCCCCATAAGCTTTGCTGGCGGAGGCGGGATTTATGACCTATACTGCAGCCCATCAACAGAGGGTGCTGTTCTCGGAGTGGCTTCACCCCGCGAGGAGGCAGACGGCGTCCATTCTATATACAGTCTATGGTTACATCACCTTTCCTTTTAACAACACTCACTAAACGTTTGGGAACTGAGGAGACTAATTGTTGAATCTTTGAAGGTGGAATTCTTTCCCATTCTTGCTTGATGTCCAGCTTCAGTTGTTCAACAGTCCGGGGTCTCCGTTGCCGTATTTTACGCTTCATAATGCACCACACATTTTCAACGGGAGACAGGTCTGAACTGCAGGCAGGCCAGTCGAGTACCCGCACTCTTTTACTACGAAGCCACACTGTTGTAACACGTGCAAAATGTGGCTTGGCATTGTCTTGCTGAAATAAGCAGGGGTGTCCATAAAAAAGACTGTGTTGTTCTAAGGCATATGCTTATTTTTCTCCTAATTATATTGCACCTGTCTTTATAGTAGAAGCTTCCTACCAGTTTATTGTAAGGTGTGAGTTTTATTTTGAAAACCCTTCCCCCTTTGGTGAGAGTTACTTCCTGTTCACTTCCTGTTTGGATGTAGCAGTGAGTTAGTGACAGTGCACATATGTAAGCTGCATGTTCAGAGCTGTGGGATGAAAAAACACTATCTAACCACTTGGAAGAATTCTAGAGGCAATGCTGTGAGTTCTTATGTTTATTTTTTAGTTATGTTAACGTTTTTGGCCTTCCTGGGACATTTTGTGAATGTTTATTTGGAAATTACATGATGAGTCTAGTTGTTGCCTTCTACAGAGGGTAGTAGTATTTTATCCTGCAAATTACATTTGAAGCTTGTCTGTGTTGTTGTCTACTCACTTTTTCCTTTCTTTTTTTTATCTGCATTGTTTGCAATGGTTGTAATTAAGTACACAGATACTGAATTTGTATTGTCTTTATTTTTATTTTACAGTTTTCACCGCCATGTCATTGAAGTACAAAAGTAAACGGTCGAATCATATCAAGACTCTGTCCTCTTTGACTGCGGTTTACCTTGATGTTTATTGACAGTCCTGTACACTGCAAGAGAACACTAAAGTGAAAAAGCAGCATTGGAAGTTTCGAAATGAAGTGACATAATGAGCTCAAAAGCAAGCAGCAAGACGGCCTCAAAAGCAAGCAGCAAGGCACCCAGTGCTGTCAGCAGCAGGACATCTTCTTCATCCAGAAGCGCAGCCCTTGCCCATGCCAAGGCTGAAGCCGCCAAGGTGAGAGCACAGTACGCCGCTCAAGAGGCAAAATTAAAAATGGAAAGAGCTACCAGAGAGGCAGAAATAAAGCTGGAAACAGTATGAACAGATACAGAGCCGGAAGTGCTAACATCACAGCCAGAAGCTGATGCGACTGTAGTGGAGGCACAAGTACTGGAACGTGCCGAAGCGATAGATGTTTTGGACGAAGTAGAGGACTCTGAATCAGCCAAGGAAAAAATGGAGCATACCAGCGAATATGTCTGATCTCAAAATGAGCTGAAAAAATACTCCTCTCGCCCACATTGGCATGACAGCGCTGTGTCTGTTGATAAATTTCCAGAACTACACCATGAAAAAAGCAAGCCAATGTCTGTCAAACCTGATGATACATACCTCACAAAGTCGGTAAAAGTTGAAGATCCCCTCTTACCTTTAAAACACTCCCTGGATCGGCCAAAAGCTACAAAGTCACCTGAAGTCAGAACAGCGAACCCCTCCATGATTCCCCATGCTTCGCCCTATGTCCCTCATCATAACCGCCCAGCTAGCACACCACCTCCAGCAGAGCCATTGGCTCAGTATTTGGCACGATGAGACCTTGTCAGTACAGGACTGTACCAGTTTGACGATAAGCCAGAGAATTACCTAGCGTGGTTCTCATCATTCACCAGTGCAGCTGGGGAAGTTAACCTTACACCAACCCAAGAATTGGACCTCATGACCAAATGGCTGGGAAAGGAATCGGGAGAACAGGTGAGACGCATACGCTCGGTACATGTCGGCAACCCCAACCGAGCATTACAAAAGGCATGGGATTGCTATGCTGCCCCTGAAATAATTGAAAGGTCACTGTTCCAGCGGCTGGACAGTTTTCCAAGGGTTTCAGCCAAAGTCCACGTCAAATTACGTGAATTAGGGGATCTGCTCATGGAGATCCAGGGAACACTACAAAGACAAGATATTTAATGTTCAAAAATCATAAACTTTATTTTTTTTGCAAATAATAATTAACTTTAGAATTTGATGGCAGCAACACGTGTCAAAAGAGTTTGGACAGGGCAATGTTTACCATAGACTGTATATACTGTATATACTAACCCTAACCCTAACCCCCCCCCCCCTTTGATTATTTTTGTAACTTATGCTATTTATGCTATGAAGCAAAGAAGCAAAATGACCCTAGCTTCATGTAAAAAGACAGCACCACAATGCCCACAAAACAAGAAATACACAACAATACACCCAATACACAACATACCTCATCCCCTCAAAAGATGCAGAACATTTAGAAACAAGCCCCTCGACAAAAGAAAGACCTTCCTGAAGGAGAAAGGCATATGTTTTAAATGCTGTTCATCAACCTCCCACATAGCAAAGGACTGCAAGTCTGTTGTGAAGTGCTTAGAATGTGACAGCACCAATCATGATGCACCATGCATCCTGGTCCATCACCTCAAACTGCCAAGGCTCCATCACCATCTCAGGAGAACGGGAGAAGATCAGTCTGACATGGATAGGGTTCAAACAAGCTGCACAGAAGTTTGCGGCCCAGGGCAGTGGAGCTGCTCATGTCCCAAGATCTGTCTCACAAAGTTGTACCCCAAGGGTGCGAAGGACGAGGCTATCAAAGCCTATGTAATTCTGGATGATCAGAGCAATCACTCAGTAGCCAGACCAGAGTTCTTTGAGCTGTTTAGTGTCAAGAGCAAGCCATTCTCTTACAACCTCAGAACTTGCTCCGGCATCACCGAAACATATGGCAGATTGAGAGAAGGATTCCAGATTGAGTCACTGGACGGCAAAACCGTCATCTCTCTCCCACCACTCAAGAGATCTTGAACAATCGTACCGAAATTCCAATGCCGAGTGCAGTGTTACACCAGCCTCATCTTCAGCATATCGCCAAGCACATCCCTGAACTAGACCCAGAAGCAGAAATACTTCTGTTACTCAGAAGAGATACTTCGGGCACACAAGGTTAGGCAACAAGTCAATGGACCACATCACGCCCCTTTCGCCCAGCGTCTTGACCTGGGTTTGGTGGTAATAGGAGAAGTGTGCTTGGGCAACGTACATAAGCCGACAGTCAACGCATTCAAGACCAACGTGTTGGAAAATGGTCGCCAATCAATTTTTCAACCCTGCACAAGCTTTATGCACGTCAAAGAAACAGAACAAGGCCTTTACGAGCCAAGAAAAAATACTGAGAGAACAGTATTTTTATGGCACAAAGACAATGATATCAATAAGGAAGTTGTTGTGTATAGGATGAAGGTCCATGTCTTTGAAAATTCTCCATCTCCTGCTGTTGCCACTTATGGACTGCATTGAGCCATCCGTGAAAGTGCATGGTGCTGATACTGTCACCTTTGTCGAAAGGCACTTCTATGTTGATGACAGGTTGGTATCTGTACCAACTGAAGCCGAGGCAATTGACCTGCTCAAACAAACTCAGGCCTTACTCGCAGAGTCCAATCTCCGCTTACACAAGATTGTGTCAAACTGTCGAACAGTCATGGAGGCCTTCCCACCTGAAGACTGTGCTCCAGTCATCAAGGACCTAGATCTAAGTGGAGAAACCACACCTCCACAACGGAGTCTAGGACTCCTCTGGGAAACCAAAAATGACACATTCACCTTCTCTGTGTCATCCACGAACAAAACTTTCACTCAACGTGGAGTCCTCTCCACTGTGAACAGCGTTTTTGATCCCCTGGGTCTATTAGCACCCGTCACGATTCAAGGACGGGCTCTAATAAGGGAACTTACCTCTAAGCTGTCCGACTGGGACACACCCCTCTTGGAAAACAAGCTGTCCAGATGGGAATCATGGAGAGAGTCTCTCCAAGACCTTGAAGAGGTCCACATTCCATGGATGTCCACAAAAACCTCACTCGCTAAAGCGGTACACAAGGAACTATGCGTATTCTCAGATGCATCAACAAGGCCATCGGAGCTGTGGCGTACCTAAGAACAGTTCAAGAAGATGGGCAAGTTGACATAGGATTCGTTATGGGTAAGGTGAAGCTAGCACCCCAGTCCGAACTTACAATCCCAAGGCTTGAGCTGTGTGGCACTGTCCTTGCAGTTGAGCTCGCAGATTGCGGGTGAGAGGAGTAGCACTCCTTGTCCACATGGCCAGATCCTTTAAACATTCAAACCAAAACAGCAAATGCATAGGATGGCACAGGTGCTCTTTACCCCGCACTGCAGATGAAATAAATCAAGCAAAGGATATTGTCCGTAAGACCACACAAAGAGCAACTTTTGGAAAAGAGCTGTTTGCGCTAAAGAACAACAAAGTTGTGTCCAAACACAGCCACTTGCCTAAACTCAGCCCGATCTTGGAGGATGGGCTCATTCGCGTCAGTGGCCGAATTAAGCACTCCGATCTCCCAACTCAAGAAAAGAACCATAATTCTACCCAAAGATAGCCACATATCCCTACTGCTCATATGCCATCACCATCTGCAGGTTGAACACCAAGGCCGTCACCTGATGGAAAGTGCAATCAGGGCAGCAGGACTGTGGATCTTAGGAGGCAAGGCATTAATCAATTCAGTACTCCACAAATGCGTGACATGTCGCAAGCTACATGGAAGGTTGGAAGAGCAACGCATGGCAGACCTGCCACCTGAATGTCTCAGGGTCTGCCCTCCATTTACTTATGTGAGGCTTGATGTATTCGGCCCCTGGGCTGTCACAACCAGGTTCAGGTGCACCAGAGGAGGGCAAGCCGAGAGCAAGAGATGGGACATCATGTTCAGTTGTATGAGCTCCAGAGCTGTTCATGTTGAGATCATCGAATCTATGGACACATCCAGCTGCATAAACGCTCTTAGACATTTCTTTGCACTCAGAGGCCCGGCAAAACAGCTCCGATCTGATTGTGGCACTAACTTTGTTGGAGTGTGCAAAGAACTTGGAATGGACAAAACAGTGCAGCAGTTCCTCAGTGAGCAGGGATGTAGCTGGAAATTTAACCCACCAACGCATGATAGGCATCGCCAGAAGAATCCTGATTCTATGCTTCTCCAGCAAAACATTCGTTTAACCCATGAAGTGCTCTGCACTCTGATGGCAGAGGTAACTGCTATTATGAATGCATGCCCACTCCTACCTGTGACTACAGACCCACAAAACCCCTTCATACTGTCACCAGCAATGCTCATTACACAAAAGACAGGAGTTCCACCTCCACTGGGAGACTTCTCAGAGAAAGACCTGTACACAAAACAATGGAAACAAGTTCAGGCTCTTGCTGACAAGTTCTGGACCCGCTGGAGTACTGAATATTTGTCTTCTGTGCAACACCGACAAAAATGGACAACGTCATGCAGAAATCTGCAAGTAGGAGACCTTGTTCTGCGCTTACAGATGTAGCGACGAACTGTATTTACTAACAGTGGTTTTCTGAAGTGTTCCTGAGCCCATGTGGTGATATCCTTTACACATTGATGTCAGTTTCTGATACAGTGCCGCCCGAGGAATCAAAGGTCACGGGCATTCAATGTTGGTTTCTGGCTGTGCTGCTTATGTGCAGTGATTTCTCCAGATTCTCTGAACCTTTTGATATTATGGACCGTAGATGTTGAAATCCCTAATTGTACTTGCAATTGTACTTTGAGAAACATTGTTCTTAAACTGTTCAACTATTTGCTCACGCAGTTGTTCACCAAGTGGTGAATGACTGAGAATTTTGGGGGAAGCTGCTTTTATACCCAATCATGGCACCCACCTGTTCCCAATCAGCCTGCTCACCTGTGGGACGTTCCAAATCGGTGTTTGATGAGCATTCTTCAAATTTCTCAGTATTTTTTGCCACCTTTCCCAACTACTTTGGCACATGTTGCAGCTATGAAATTCTGAGTTTATTATTTGCAAAAAAAATTATAAAGTTGATGAGTTTGAACATTAAGTATTTAGGGCCCGAGCCCAGGCTGCCAAGCAGCCGACGGGCAAGGCCCTCTTGGATCCAAAGGGGTTCACGATTATTTCCTATACTCCCTCTTTCTCCTCACTGCCTACGTTTCCCCTAATTTGACCCCCTTAGTGTGCACGAAAAGTCAGGAAATTTTGCGTTTTCACCCCCCACACCAAAAGTCCGCAAGATTTTGTCCGATCACCACGAAATTTGCACCGTACAATCTTAACTCTGAGGGGAATAGAAATTTAGAAGAACTTTTTCAAAACTTTAAAATGTGGCCACCAGGGGCCGCCAAAAAAACGAACATTTTTTTTTGTCGCAGCTCCATGAAATTTTACACACTCGTAGACCTCACTGAGACACACGGAAATTCACCATTCGTGTTTCTCGAAAACATACATGCAACCAGATATTCGCGGTTGTTCGGGCACTTTTTTTCATTCGCATAGGTTTTTCAAACCAACCAACACGTCATGGAAAATATAACTTCTGAAGGTCATTTGCATATATTGAGCAATTCGGCCTCCAGGGGTCGCCAAAGTCACCCGTTATGTTCCAATTGATAAATGGCTGTATCTCTGTCATGTTTACATCTATCAGCCTCAAAAATTCTGGGAGGATGTAACATCCGTCCCAAAAGACATTACTGAAGAAAAAATTATTTTCCTTCATTGCGCAAGAAAATGTGTGTTTTTACGCTTGCACCTCCAGCTCAGGCTGTGTTTCTCTGACTGGTGTCAAACCTAGACCAGAATACTCTGAACACTTTGAAGTTGTTGCAAAATGAATATTTTGACTCCTCATCAAAGGACGTGGCCATGGCGGTGCTTTGAAGTCACATGACTTGCTGTGATAACTAATTTGGCTGGAGTTTGGTTGTACCTGCTACGACCTTCACTAAAATCTAGTATGTTGTAACAGTCTGGCCTTGAATGATGAACATCCTACTTGGCTGCGTATGTGACAGCGCCATTTAACAATAACACAATTTCTTATTTTTCCTGTTTGATTTATAACTCCTACTTACTCAAAGTGATGTACACAGTCATATGGAAGTTTGATAATGATGCCACAGTACAATTTTCTTGCTTGTATTTGCAATTGGTCATAATTGTTGTCAGCTATTTCTTCTTTCATATGTATTTGCGCTAAGATTGTTTCATCCACTGCCCTTACCCACACACCTACAATTGATAATGCTCCTTGGCGTGGCTGCGGCGCTGCAGCAAAGTCACGTGTTTTGGCGTGCCAACTAATTTGGCTGTAACTCGACCAAACGTTCTCCGACCTTCACCAAAATTTAGTATGTTGATAATGGTCCAGCCCCGGACGCATCGACACCAAATTTGGCTCTGTATGTGACAGCGCCACCTAGCTACAGCACTAAGTATTGCAGGTCACATTGAGACCGCGGCGAGGGCCCGCCAGTGCCCCACCGGGGCCCTAGTTTGTCTTTGTAGTGTATTCAATTGAATATAGGTTGAAAGGATTTGCAAATGATTGTATTCTGTTTTTATTTACGTTTATCACAATTTCCCAACTTCAATGGAATTGGGTTTTATATTAAAGATGTTTTTTTAGGTAGACAAATGGAAACTGAGAGATTCTGTTTGATCAAAATACACGTATTCGGTATGTTCTGCCCAGTCCTTGGCTGAGCAGTCCGTGTGTATCATCAGCAATCATTGTTATTTCCCTATTAACAGGGACATTTCATTCTGAAAAGGTTCAAGTGGAACCAGTGAAACAGTGGAACTCTTGCAGTGCTGGGAAGGCGTTTTCTAACCAAATAGTGGCACTTCTGTTTCAATTAATATTTTTTTGTTTGTTTGTTTTTTATATTCAGCTAGTTTATGTAAATGATGACTAAAAAATTATATATTATGGAGAGAAATTCACTACAGTTTCACAATATTCTAATTTTGGGGGATTTACCTATATAGCACTCTAGGAGTGAAATTGGTGCCATTACCCCTGGCATGCACCAGCTCTCTACAAACAACGTTGCTAGCATTCTTAAATCAATCTAAGGACACATCCAAAGAATTTATACATTAATCAGCCTTTGTAGCTGCACACACAAGCCTCTTGTGGACAAATGAGAGTGGGAGAGGACGAGTCAGGACTGCAGGAGAGGGCAGTGTTGAATACAGCAAAGTGATTGGATGGAGAGGCGGAGCAGGAGATTTACCAATAGGAGCTGTCCGGGAGAGATGGCTCCCCTTGGTTACTGTTTTTGCAGCCCTGCACCTGCTAGGGTGAACAGATTTTTTCCATTCTTTTTTCTCTTCACTTTGTGGAGATGGCACTATAGGACCATGATGGCCATATAAACAAGGTTCGCAATAATTACAAATCTCTCTAATCGTCAACCATGACTTTAAATTAAACAGCTTTAACACAATTTCAAGTTTACTATCATCCATATGTTCCAGCATAGTGTAACATATTCCATCCTCCCCTGGGGAAGTTTGCCTTGCTTTAATTGTGGCTCTTTTTAGCTCTAATTTGCTGAAAGGTGGGTCTAAACTGTTCCCTGACACAGTTCTTTTGAGTGTTACATTTGAGTCCGATGAAAGTGTTCTGTCTCTATCCTGTGTAGCTGTGTCTGACATTTTTTTCTGTCCTATGAATCTTAATGTTTTTTGCCAGAAGTTCTGTCTTGTCCACATTTTTTACTAATATTTTATTAATACAGTGCAGACATCTGCAAGGCTTGTATCACTACCTCTGATACTATGGTCTCCAATATATTCGCTTTGTTGATCTGATTGTTTTCCAAACTATTGCCTGCATTTTCTTATACTGTATTGAAGTTTTCTTTTTTTTCTGCAGTTGCCTAAAAGCTCTGTTTCTGTTTGTTATTATCGACTACATTCATCAATTCACCATGGTACACCTTTATTTTACTGTTCTGTTTTTGGAATTGTCTCTTTTGCAGTTTGTATGATTGCTGAAACCAATTTACTATTGAATACATTCACATCTCTTAAATCTTCTCAATCAATCAATCAATCTTTATTCTTATAGCACTTTATATACAGAGCAATGTAGCACAAAGTGCTTTATACTGAAGATGAAAAATAAGGAAAGAAAGGAAAAAGAAAGAAAGAATACCCGACTCTCCCCCCCATCCCACCCCTTCACCCCTGCCCCAAAAAGCACAACTACTAACTTCCTCAAATCTTTCTTTGACTTAAAATTTAAAACCTAGCCCAGTTACTTTAATCAAATGCCCATTTTGGTTTCCTCTGTAATTCTTCCTGTTGAACTTCTATTCCTACTTTAATCCTGATAGGATAGTGGTCACTACCAATTGAGGTCCTGTTGATAACTTCCCATGATGCAGTTGCTGCTATTTCACTAATGGTCAGAGTTAAAGGTAGGGTAGGCAGGATCTGAGGAAGTGCCAGTTTCTGGGAGAAATCTTAAATGTGAACACTACCCCTCCCAACCGGTTTTCCCCTCAGCTCCTCCTCTCCCCTTCCTCTCTGCTCCAGAAAGCCACGTCCACAAACAGACGCTCGTCCTCACTTGTATCGTTTCAATTATATTCAGATATAATGCAGATAAATACTTTGGATAATTACAAATGGGGCCCAGTCAGCGTGAAAGTAGAAAGTGCTACTGTAGATGCCAACAGACTACCAGCAAACACAATATTTGCAGGACATCTACAACCAGCCTCACAACCAACCAGGATGAAGTGACATACTCCAGGACCCGAGGTAAACAGTTTAGTGGCACTACAACACCCAGCAGGTCCCGTTTCACATGAAACACTTCTATTACAGACACTTGGCTTACTTTGTTAAAGTGGTTTACCTGTCAAGCAGAAAGGTTACAGGCTCCATAAGATCCCGAAGCGTTCCCCATCGTTTATACTATGTTGACCTGACTTTTTAGCTCTTCCCTGGCTTTAAGCGCCCGTTATTCCGCCAAAGTTTCCGGTATTTACTTTGTTTGTTTGGAGGCGGAGAATGGCTTTGTTTACAGTCAGAAAGAGCGGGCCACTTAAAAAAATTAAAATGTTAACTACTCAGACATAAAACACAATGATATTGTTATATTACCAAATGTCATCTATAGCTAATAGCTACTGACTGATTGAGGCTGGAGAGGACGCTGGCGTTGACTGTTCGCCGCTTCTCCATACCTGTTGACTCTAAACCCCCACAAATTATACAAATTCCACCCTCCACAGCTAGGTTGTTGTTCCACTAAACTCTGGGTTCTTGATTTTCCCCCGGATTGTGTCCCTGATACTGCACAAACCCCCCGGGAGTCGTCTGTGTGGTGCCTCGCAAGCCTGGTGCCCCTTCAGCTGGGACAGCGGCGCTGACTCGGTGCTAGCTGCTAGACTGCAGCTAGCCCCTGTTATTTCGACCTCTCGCCGTCTAGCCAATCTCCCCGGCTTCTGCATGTCATCTGCCCTTGATCGGATGTCTGCATGTGGGCTGCCATCTCTGTGGAGGCTCTGGACATTTCTGGGCTGTGCGGCTGCCATCCATCGTCGCTCGCCGGGATTCTGGCTAATGGCTAACACCGACACTCCAGGCTACTCCACCGTCATCTCCACACCGCTTCGGAGTTTCCATTACATCAGCACTCCCTCTGGTCAACTCCAACTACCTCACCGACCCCGCTACATCCACAGAGGATCTGGTCGCCGGTTTGTTTTGTCCAAACACGACGATCCTGGTAACTCTCACCGAGCCATTACATCCCTCTGGTCGGCTGGTTGGCTGGTCGCACAACAATGGCGTCATCAGAACGCCGCTACTACAACCGCTAAAGTCAGGAGCGTGTATGGCCGGGTGGATAGAAAACCCGGAGTGGACTACAGCGTCCTGCGCCCCCTAAACGGACCGGACTCCGCAAGCCATTCCACACTGGAACTACTCAACGTTCAGTCACTCACAAACAAAGCCGGACTCATCAACGACCACATCACAGACAAACAAATTGACATTCTCTGCCTTACAGAAACCTGGCAACAGCCTGAGGTCTACTCTCCCCTCAATGAGGCCTGTCCCCCTGGGTACAGCTACCTCAGCAAGGCCAGGACTACCGGTCGGGGGGGTGGCCTCGCTGTTTTTCACCGCAGCACCATTCAAACCTCTCTACTGTCTGCCCCACCCTTCAACACTTTTGAACACCTGGTTTTTAATTGCAAACACATCACATCGCATAACACCACCTCTGCAACCATAGCACTCATTTATCGCCACCCCAAACCACATCCATCATTCCTCTCTGAAATTCATGACTTTCTCATCTCACTTTGCACCTCACACTCAAACGTTCTGGTTCTGGGGGACTTCAACATCAAATGCACTCACTCTCCTGCAAACTGGCTGCTGAATTCAAACAGGGTCTGGACTGCCTCAATCTCCATCAATCCGTTGTTGGACCCACCCACACAAAGGGCCACACACTGGACCTGGTCATCACAGACTCCATCCACATCTCAGACCTTCACGTCCAGGACATTGGCATCTCAGACCATTATGCAGTCACCTTCAGGACCCCTCTACCCTCCCCCCTCACCAAACCACAGCACCTTATATCATTCAGAAATTTCAAGAACATTGACTCCACCTCCTTCAGTCAGCATCTCCAGCTCCTCTCTCCTCCTCCAAACACATCACTTACTGATCTCATGGACTACTACAACCACAATCTTCACTCTATCCTTGACTTTCATGCTCCTCTGAAAACCAGGACAGTCACCTTCACCCATTCCGCCCCCTGGTTCACAGAGGAGCTGAGACTACTAATAAGGACTGGCTGAGTCCTGGAGCGGGCCTATGTCACATCTGGGCTGACGGTGCATAAGTTGGCCTACCAGGAACATCGCCGGAGATATGCCAATGAACTCTCCAAGGCCAGGTCAGCACACTACTCCAACATCATTAACAATAACCCAGGTAACTCTAAACAACTCTTCACCACAGTTAAACACCTTCTCAGACCTCAGACCTCACCACACCATAACCAAACAGTCACCCAGTGCAACGAATTCATGGATTTTTTTACCTCAAAAATACACAATATCCGTGCATCTCTCTCCTCCGCCAACAGTTCTATCCCGTCAAGTGACATTGCTCCCACCACACAACACCTGTCTCAATTCACCCCCACAGTGCAGCAGGAGGTCGAAAAAAATAATCAGTAAATCCAAACCGTCCACATGCTCCCTCGACCCCTTTCCCTCCCCTCTGCTTAAAGCTCACTGTCATTCCATCAGTCAACTAATAACAAAAATAATAAATCTCTCTCTTCAAACCGGCCATGTTCCAGTCAGCCTCAAAACAGCTATCATCAAGCCACTCCTCAAAAAACCCACTCTTGATCCTAGCTCCCTGTCAAACTACAGACCTATCTCCAATCTCCCTTTCATCTCCAAAACTCTCAAAAGAATTGTATCCATCCAACTTCACAACCATCTTAAATCAAACAATCTATATGAAAAATTCCAATCTGGCTTTCGTCCCTCCCACAGCACCGAGACAGCTCTCATCAGAGTCACCAATGACCTCCTGATGACCTCTGACTCCGGCTCCACGTCCCTCCTCATCCTTCTCGACCTCTCTGCTGCATTTGATACTGTTGATCACCACATCCTCCTTCATCGCCTCCATCATGACATTGGTATCTCTGGCACCGTCCTTCAATGGTTTCACTCCTACCATACGGGAAGGACCGAGTTCGTGGCCCTGGGGGATGCTAAATCCCGCCCTCACACTGTTGTCTGTGGGGTCCCCTAGGGCTCTGTGCTTGGTCCAACCCTCTTCACCATCTACATGCTCCCCCTTGGTCGTGTCGTCAGCAGGCATGGAATACAATTCCATTGCTATGCTGACAACACACAACTCTACCTCAAGATCACCCCCTCCTCCACTCCCCCCTCCTCTGTCACCCAACTGGACTCCTGCCTGGAGGAGATAAAGGCTTGGATGAGTGAAAACGTCTTACAGCTGAACAGCTCCAAAACAGAAGCCATTCACATCCGTACTCCCCACCAGCTCCGTTCTACCCACTTTTCATCTGTCTCTTTTCTTGGCCACAACTTTTCCCTCTCTCCTTCTGTGACTAATTTGGGAGTCAGGTTTGACCCCCATCTTAGCTTTGACTATCACATCAACCATATCTGCAAGACTTCCTTCTTTCACCTCCGTAATATCGCCAAACTCCGGCCATTTCTCTCTCGTCCTGCAGCAGAGAGACACGTCCATGCCTTTGTCTCCTCCAGGCTCGACTACTGTAACGCACTTCTCATCGGGATCCCGGGCAAGAGCTTACAAAGGCTCCAATATGTCCAGAACAGCGCCGCCCGGGTCCTGATGAGAGTGCGTAAACATGAGCACATCACCCCCATCCTTCGCACTCTGCACTGGCTCCCCGTTCACCTCCGCATTGAATTCAAAATCCTCCTTCACACCCATCACTGTCTGCACGGTGCAGCCCCCACCTACCTCACCGAACTCCTCACCCCACATACCTCAGCCAGAACCCGGTCAGGCCAACTGCACCGTCTGCGCCTGCCCAGGACTCGGCTCAAGACCATGGGTGACAGGGCCTTCGAGGCTGCTGCTCCCCGTCTGTGGAACGCCCTCCCCGACCACCTCAGGGCTCCACAGTCGGTGGATGCTTTTAAAAAAGAACTCAAAACCTTCCTCTTTCGGAAAGCCTACCCGGACAATTTTATCTGATTTTATCTGCTGACTGTTTTTTATGTTGACTGTTTTTTTATTGTTTTGCCCTGTTGCTTGGTTTTTACTGTTATTGTTGTCTTGTTGTGCACTTTGAGATTTGTTTTTAAATGTAAAGTGCGTTACAAATAAAATCTATTATTATTATTATTATTATTACTTGACTTGTAGTCTCATTTGTCATGTCTCTAAAAGTCATCCTCTATTTACAGAAGAGTTGTAAAGTCTGATGGCTGTTGGTACAAAAGATCTTCTGAATCTTTCTGTCCTGCAGTGAAGAGAGAGGAGCTGTCCACCACCATTGGCCCTTTGGTCCATCAAAGGGCCGATGGTAGTGGCCTCCTGGAGGACCCTGACAGCCTGAAGACCAGAAAACATTGAGAGCTCTAGAGAGCAGAAGTCAAGAAATCAGAGGAAGCAGTCAAGCCTACTACCATTTGAAACTTCACCAATACTTTCTCTTTGGTTGACAAGGGCCACCTCTTAAATATGTCCTACATGCCGAGGCAGTTGGTAGGAGTCAAACATTCTTTCGTTCAGTATCATTTTGTAAATGGTTCTTCCCAGGAGATGTTTTTTGAGCCAATCAAGAGAAAAACGCTCAAGACAGTGGATGCCTAAAACAACACTGTCAAGCTCACTGCCTCCCGGGGAAAGAAATGAGACCCCATACTCCTAACTGATAACATTTTTTTGGGTAAAATATCCTCATAAAATGTCTAATAGAATAATACCAATTATGTTGATCATGTAGACATTAGAGGACTCCAGCTAGTAGCAGCATGACTTCAAATTCTTCTTGACATATGATGAGAATAAGACACAACTCTGTAAACTCCTGCTAGAGGTACGGGCAAGCAAAGCATCTGCATCATGGCTAGAGAAATGTGAGTATATATGTTTAATGTCTACTCACCTTTCTACAAGGTAGAGTCCTCTGGTAGAAATGCATGAGAAGGACTCCAACTGGTATGCTTTGCCTCCCACAACTACCACTGCTGTTTCACATTTTTCCAGGATGTGCAGAAAAGTGTTTATAAAATAACAATTTTTTTAAGTTTTTAAAAAAATTGTTGACTCATATCTCTTAAACAACTTCAGCCCTGACCATTAAAGAAATAAATAAAAAAATCACTGTGACACTCTTTTTATGACAGTTATTGTGCACCGTCACTGTAATTTTTAATGGTAAAAACACAAAATTGCCATATTTACCATATAAAATGACCTAGATGAAATTTTTATTTTTAATAAATAGAGTCTAGACCTGTCAATGATAAGAAGTAAAAACGATTTGGGTGCAATAAATATTTTTTTGTTGTACCAATTTCCGTAGTTTAAGCTCTATCCAGCTTACTTTGTCCCCAAAACAGACAAGCAGATATGTGTTCATAAAATAATCTTTTTTTTTTTTTTTTACATTTTTTCTCACCTTTTTGACTCATATCTCTTAAACAACTGAACATTAAAAAAATAATAAAATATATCACCATTTCAAAGCCAGTTATTATGCACCATGTCATAAAACTTGTATTTATTGATAAAGTGTGCGTTCTCAACAGGTGTTAGTGGTGTGTCGGTCTTGAACGAACGGATCAAAAGAACTAGTTCTTTTTGATGAACGAAATGAACTAGTTCTCCCCCCCTAAATGACCCGTTCAATTCGTTCAGTTCTTTTGATTGGCTGAAGAGGGATTGCTTGCCTGTCTTATCCTATCGTCGCGCCTCGTTCTGTGTGTGGGTGGGGCTTAGAGAAGCAGCAGCAGTACTACTGAGCTGACTGAAAGACCGGAATGACCGAGTTGACTGAAAGAACGGGTCAAATGAACGAAAGACCTAGTTGACTGAAAGAACGGGTCAAATGAACGAAAGACCTAGTTGACTGAAAGAACGGGTCAAATGAACGAAAGACCTAGTTGACTGAAAGAACGGGTCAAATGAACGAAAGACCGAGTTGAACGAAAGATCCAGACCGATGAACGAGTTGAACGAAAGACCGAGTGAACGAAAGACCCAGACCGATGAACGAGTTGAACGACGGACCGAGTGAACGAAAGACCCAGACCGATGAACGAGTTGAACGAAAGACCGAGTGAACGAAAGATCCAGACGGATGAACGAGTTGAACGAAAGACCGAGTGAACGAAAGACCCAGACGGATGAACGAGTTGACTGAACACAGCTCACACTCACACAGCTGCTGCTGCAGCCAGAGGCAGAGAGACAACTATTAATACGCATTTGCACTGTCTGTTGACATTTTGTACTTTTTATTATTGTTTTTAATGCACCTCAAAATAATAAAAAAAAACATTAAAAACCTTATATATTTTGTTACTCCTACTATAATTTTATATTACAAGTAGTGCAGCGCGATCGCAGCGTTGGACCGGGGGTGGGAAGTGGAGAGTGCAGCGGTCACAGCGTCGGACCGCGGGGGGGGGGCAGCGGACTGACAAATGACCGATTGACCGAAATGACCAAAAAGAACGAAATGAACGGGTCTTTTTACTGAACGACCCGGAATGATCCGGTTCACTGAAATGACCGGTTTTGCCCACCACTAACAGGTGTGTCCATTGGAGAGGAAAAACACGCCAGTTATACCTTCTTTTCTCGAGCCTTATCCTCTACCGACTCAAATGCGAGCAAATTCATTTGATCTTATTAAATAAATTTTATAGATAGGCATATAAAATCTTCAGTGGACTAACCTGTGACAACCTGTACTCTAATACAGGGGTGAAAGTTGGATGAGGTTCTTTCTGTACCTGTAGGCTTTGTATAAAAGGAGCACACCCAAGTTTGACAAGGTGCCGACTAAGGATCATTTGAACAAGAACAATAAAGAAAGTTGCACACTCTTATCTCCTCTGCTGTTTTATTACCTTACCGTTTCAGATACTGTACTCCTGAAATAAACTTTGCAACAACATACACAAAATTCAACATTAAGACATGCTGCAGTGTTCCAGCTGTGAGCTGCACAGAAGTAAGCTAACAGCAAAAAGTAGAGGTGCTCCTCAACAAATAAGAATAAATATATTCTAATTTATTGAGATGGGATACTTAAATGCATTGTGCAACAGAGGCCTGCAGATGACATTGAAATTAGAATATTTTTAGTCCCCTGAAGATAAAATGTGGAGAGTCCATGTCTCCATGCTGTAAGTGAGTGAGTAAAAGTACCAGCACACCTGACACACCGCTGACATTTGCATTCAGTCACAGGTTAACACGGACAGAGACTGCAGTGATTCTGCCTCTGTGCCATGTATTTTTAAGGCATCTCTATGACCATTTTGTCTGTTTCTCACTGTGTTTATGGCCCTTTATTTGCAAAATATCCCAAATCCATCGATCAGTGATGAGAACAATTGGAAGTATAAAGTCCGCTGAAACAGATAGCCGCCATCCGCAGTTTGATTTCCGCCGCGTCGACAAGGCGTTCCCAAGCACAATTTGGTATTTTGGTGAGTGGCACAGCCCCGGCGTCAGTATCCCTCCTCCCTAACTCAGCTCCTCCCAGTGGCAAAAGTCGTAGCGAGGGAGGAGAGAGGGCGTGGAGTGGGTTTAACACAGCTGAGACCTGTATTAACCAATAACATCAGCTCCTCTCCTCGCCTTTAAATCTGCCACTGGCGAGGCGTATTATAATTTTAATGAAGTAGTCAAAGAGATCAAGAAATGTCTGACAGCAATGCCACACAATGGCGACAGAAGGCAGCCCCTCAACAAGTGTCACTGTAAACACTGCAGAGGGCGTCCTTCACACTGTCTCATATAAGCACAGATGGATTTGGTGTGTGTAAGTTTGGACCCACTGGTAAGACAAACACCCTTTTCCACAAATAAAGACACTCACACAAAGTTGCATATAATCAAACCTCACGTGACAAAGGTGGGTTGTGCGCACAGATCACAACATAAATTCCAAAAATGGCATTAAAATCGGAACCATCTGTGCATAATGACGCATCGCACTCCGTGGCCTAGCTCTTTCTTTCATAGATATTGGCATATGAAATCAATTTGGCACACAAAACTGAATATTATAATATTTGTATGTAGGCTTAAAGTGAACAACTCATCTGATCACTGAAACAAATCATCTGTTCAGCTGCCACAGCAGCAGCTGCAGCAGGACGGAGAGAGGACACGGAGACATGTCCAGGTCGAGCTGCATGAGAAATAAGAGGAAGAGGATTTAATTTAATTTAATGCGGTTTCAGCTGTGTTGATTAGGTCAGGTTGTGTGTCCAAACGCGCTCATCAGATCAGATATAGATCAGAATATATCTATATAGATCTAAATGTATTTGCTGACTCAGATTATTAGTTGTTGATTATTTTTTGCACTGAAATGTGCCTGACACTGTGGAAACCTGCTGGTGAGGCATCGGTGACGTGTGCCGATACGCCGCCGGTCTACATAAATACCACTAGACCAGCTGCGCTCCACCTGCGCTGAAAGCTGATCGGCGAGCTTTCAGCGCAGTTTATACGCGACCGGCGAGCACGAAAATGTCACTGCGCCAGCTGATTCTGTCAACACCTCCCCATGCCTCGCCACCACGCCCAGCTTGGCAGACCTCGGTGCGCCTCAGTCCACGAAAATACCAAGCTGGCTATATGCCGGGCTCCGCTAGACGAAAATACCACTGCGCGGGGTCCACCGCCCTCAGCCGCCTCACCGGCGGACACAAAAATAGAGCCCCAAGTGTTTTGTTTCTACTTATTTAAAGCATGGATCATAGTTGTGCAGACATCCACACAAACATCGAATACAACCAAAAAGTGAGGTGTATAGGCTGTCACGAGATAACACAGGTAACAGGGAGAGTACACCTGACCTCGTGCTGTATTTAAACGCATCCCACAGACATTTTCACACCGCCTGTGGTACTGTGAGAACTACCCATGCACCTAATGATCACAAAGATACTGCAAAATAAGTTCCTCTTACAACGAAAAGGTTTGTTAAATTTCTCACTCGGTGAGGGCTATATTTTGGACAGGCATTTGCACAGTCACCAATTTCCGTCTTCTTGTGTTTTGTGCTTTCAGCTTTATTTTTGACCCAATAATTCCCCCTAACATGCATGTCTCAAAGGCCCTTTAAATCGATATGATCGGGTTGACACACCGGCAAAAACGCAGACGGTACAACTTCTGGGTCACGATGAGCGTACAAATTAAATAATAAAAACAAAATCAGCCTGTGGCCCGTGGCCCATAATTCAACTTCAGTTTATTTGATCGATGTAAATTAACAGAATATTGGAAAACGAACGAATTTTCATTTATTTGTTTTCATTTCAAAAAGGGAAAAAGGGAAAACGAACCGTTTTTCAATGTTTTGTTTTTTGTTTCTTAATTGATTATCAATTGAACGAATGATACACGGATTCACTGCCCCCTATCCGCCAGAAGGGGCCAGAACGAGTGGGGTCCGTGACATCACTTCTCGGTGCCACTTGAGATTGCGAACTCAGATTGAATTATGAGACACGAAAAAGCATTTCTGAGTTTGGTGTTTCTTTTTAATTTAGTCACAAAATGAGCAGTCTTGAAGAAGATAATGAAATTGCATTTTGGAATTTTGGTTTTTATTTTGATTTTTGAGTCAAATAGTGCAGCCATGACTTTGAAATGAAAACGCATTTCTGCAAATGCTTTTGAATTTTTGAATTTGACATTTCAAATTGAATTTTGTTTCCTTTTTTCGCTGAAGAATGTTTTGAAAATTAAACATTAAATGTGTTTTGCTTTTTCTTTTTAATTTAGTCACAGAATGGGCAGTCTTGAAGAAGAAAATGAAATCGCATTTTGGAGTATTGCTTTTTATTTTTATTTTTGAGTCAAATAGTGCAGCCATGCCTTTTGAAATGAAAAAGCATTTCTGCTTATGCTTTTGAATTTGAGATTTGAGTCACAATCGCTTCCATATAAGGGTCCCAAGTGAGAATGAAAATACTTTCATTAATCGAAAGCATTTTAATTCTCTAAACGTCAAAATCATGTGTGATGCAAATATGATGCTAACAAATGTTGTGGCTCATTGACCTGGATCTACCCATGATTCATTTATTCTAAGGCACAGCAGTGTAGGGCGCAGACTTGAGGCTGAAGCTGCGCAGGATGGCTGGCCTCTTGGTCAGAATTTGGTTACTCCTTTGAAATATTGAATTGTTGCGATTATACTCTACTGCAGAACCTAATCAATTCTCTAACATTGCAGGTGACAGTGGATATCCCCTCAAATGGTGGCTGCTCACCCCTTTTTCCAACCCGCACAGTGAAGGTGAACAGAATTACAACGTGCACCACAGACAGACGCACACTGTAGTCCAGAGGGCCATTGGGATGCTAAAGGGTAGGCCAGCAGCTGGAAGTGATGCGACACATATGAAACACACAAGAGGTAGAGACAAAACTTTTATTTGTTCACCAACTGTTTTAATGTTGCACTGATGTCTGTCAAGATGCATTTGATCTCCCACAACTCCTTGGCCACTTCATTGAAAGATATGATTGTGTCCCTCTGAACTTGCAGGACTGCGTCAGTGAGGACACAGCTGCTGTGTGAGGGCGCATGTGGTGCAGTGGAGTTGCCGGCCTCACGCTCTCCAGCCACAGCTGCAGCTCCACTGACCCAGCTGGAACACCCAGGGCCTGAAAAGAAATATTATTTAACTTCAAATAAAATTAACTATTGTGAATTGTGCCAGCTTTTCCTCTGTCGGGGTGAGCTCTGGTGTTCCCTTTCCCCCACCTGTCGCAGACACTTTTGCTGTGGAGGGCAATACGCCTTTTTGCCTCCACTTTAATGTCGGACCATTTCTCTTTTACTTCAGCCACAGTCCGACCCTCTGAGGCAACCTTATTCACAATATTTGTAACATGTCTCCACTCGTTGGCCTTTCTGGCATTAGTGACGCCTGCACCATACCATCTCGGTCCCTTGTGACATTGGTATCATTGAATATTCATGCAGGGCGTTCACCTGCCCTTTTATAGGGACCATATAGAATATTCCTTTATTGATCCCCCATGGGGGAAATTTTTTTGTCACAGCAGCATCACAGACAAAGAGTGCAAAAATGCAGTTATAAAAATAAAGATCCTAATATTAAGAACTTAAATAAATGTAATAATTAAGAAAAAATTTAGAAAA